TAATCTCCAGAGCTGCTGTGAGAGTCACTTCGCGAGAATTTTACCGTTTCATTTGAGAAAACTAGCATCATCATACTCGACATACACACAGAAACTTCATGGCAACCTGTCAAAATAAAAGTACGGTTTAACATGTAACAGAAATGTATTACTCTTGTATTACTTTTGTACAGTATAATGTACATCTTTAAATATTCAATTTTCTATCAAATTTAAATAAAACAATTAAATGATCAAAATAAATATTACAACCAGATTAATCACTTAATTGTAGAAAAAATAATAAAATTATTAGCCTATTAAAAAATGTTTTAAAGGAATATTCGTACAATTTTTCTTCCATGTATTAATTTCAACAGTAAATCTCGGTTTGTTTGCCAAAAAATGAAAGGGTTTAATTTTCATTTGATTTAAAATAAATGTTTAATGCCTTCATTTGATTTTCAGAAAAATTAAAACAAGAATTTCTGTTTGTTTACAAAATGTTTTTGTAATTACACAGAGAGAAAAGTACCGAAAAAAGGTAGCGTTGGGTACCGGCACCGAAATTCAGATACCGGTACCGTACCGGTTAAAATGTGAACGGTACCCAACCCTAGATGAGGCCCCTCGTTGTGATGGGGCCTCTGTCCACTTTCCTGGTATAATTAAATTCAAATAACTTATAACTTAATCACCACTGTGTTTTTCTGGCACAAACAGAATAAGGGTTGAATGAACATCTCAGTCAGGGTGACTGCAAAAATTATAATAATAATAATTATAATATTAAAAACAATATTTGTTTAGCCCAAAAAATGAAAATTCTGTCACCTACTCACCATCATGTCATTGTAAACCTTCTTTCATGAGAAAAGAAAGGATACATTTTGAATAATTTGCTGGTCAATTTTGCAATTTTCTTTTCCATCAAAGTTTAGGTTTCAAAAAGGATGCCAATGCACCATAAAGGTGTTATAAAAGTAGTCTATCCAGTGCGATTATTCAGAACATTCAAAAACAGAGCAATGAAAAGCAGCTAAATATTTTTTTAAATAAATAAAAATGCTGTGAATTTGAAAGACCTTTTACAAAGTGAGCCTAATAATAAAGATATATAGTCAAGTTAGTAACGTTGCTATTTTTCATTACATTCAGACATCTGTGCCATTATCCCTAATGTTAATTCAAGTAGCTGCTCTAAACATGTTTATGAAATCTAACTTGCTTAGTATGATTGTTCAAATGGTTGCTCTGCCATGACAGTAATTGACCTGAATGAAAAAAACTTAACAACATAGAGTATGTTTTTTTTGTTTGTTTGTTTTTGCTACATAGTATTTTAATCATTTTATTCTCTGACATTTCAACATTTATTTTGCATTTATTTTTAACTCAGTTTCCTGATAAGAAAAAGGCCAGCTGAGATATTCATTTGTATATGGCAAAAGTAAACCACTACTGCATTCCGTACACTGCAAGCAACTTACGTGACAAAACTAAACCCATTATAGACAAGACACTATATAATTTATTATCTAGTCTAGTCAGCTTTATTGTTTTTGACAAGTCCAGAAGTCTGTGCAGTGAGCTCTGAACCTCAGGACTCAAACTGTTGTGTGAAACTGTAAATCTGCAATGACAGCTTCAGTGATTATAATGGGATGGGTGCGTTCTGATAATGTTGCACTGCTGCTTTGTGCATAATTTATTCAAAATTTGAATATGTTTTGTTTTTCATGCATCAAATAGCACATCTGCTGTCATTTTCAACCAAGATAGAGACATTTTCTTCCCTGCTTGAGATTTTAAGACACTCTTTTCCATCCCATATTGATTGACAGGGCAAAATCGGCTCTGATCATTGGCTGTTTTCATACTGATGTCCTGCAGCACAGATAGTTACATTTATCGTCCAATACTGATGGTTGTGCAGATTTCCTGACTGTCTCCATAAAGATTTTTCATTATTAGGGCTGGAATGATACGTCGGTGGTTGGATTATGTGATTAATCCAAGCCCTTACACACTCTGCCCTTTTCACTGTAGCCCTTTTCAACTATGCTAGCCTACATTGTACCCAGAACCTAAAAATTCTCCTGTAGATCTATGAAATAATGAAACAAGAATGTCTTCTTGAATATAAGGAAGACACATCTAAAACACAAAAGTGATTCCTCATTTATTGGCTGTAGCAAATGAAGCATTTTTCTGAATGAAGACGTGTATTAATGAAGACGTGTCAGGAACGCTGGGAGTGTGGGATCTCACTTAAAAAGGGGCAAAACAGATCTGAGGGAGAGGGGTAGGTGGGATGCACTTGTAGCCGTGATGATGAGGTGTAAGTGCTCTCGCCCTCGTGCATTAGGTTGATGGGTTAGTTAGTGTGTGTTGGTGCATGGGTATCCCTCTGTTTGTCTCTGACTCATCTCCTCTATAAGCACTTTAGCTTATACAACAACTGTAAACACTCGGTCGCCTCGTTTTCTGGTCTTGTATGTGTGTTGTCACTGTAGGCCTCTCACCAGCACACTTTCAAACCAAACCATTATCATTCATTTTGTGGGGTTTGTATCTTTTTATTTTCTTCATTTTCTTTCTCTCTCTGTCTCTACAGTTCAGACAGTTTCATCGGGAGATTATTGCAGAGTTGGAGAGGAAAACTGACATGGATGTTAAATACATGACGGTGAGCTGCTGTATGTTCATTATTGATGGGAAAGCTGCTTATAGGGAAGATACTACAGTAAAAAACTACATTAAATTACTCATATTAAAATAACTACATTAAAGATAATTTAAGAGGGTAAAGTGGTAATTATTTTGGATCTCAATGGCAAGTTGCAACAGAAGTACTAAACTTGAACAGATACACACTACCACTTAAATGTTTGTGGTCAGTATATATTTTTTAAAGAAATTAATACTTTTGTTCAGCAAAGATGCATTAAACTGATCAAAAGTGACAGTAAAGACATTTATAATGTTATTTTTGTTCATACAATAAAAGTCATTGGTAACCAGAACAGCTTTGTTACCAACAGTCTTCAAAATACCTTCTTTTATGTTGTGCAAAATAAAGTCATACAGGTTTGAAACGACATGAGGGTAATTGATGACAGAATTATATTTTTTTGGGTGAACTATCCCTTTAATGTTTTCATTTCATTTCATTAAAAAAAAAAATTATACTCTAAATAAGAAACTAAAACTGCCAGCAAGTGGCGGTAAATGTCTTTGAGTCATTCATTCATTCAATTCGTTCAATCGGCTGATTCTTTCAGAAAATAAGTAAATGGCTCTCTTTATGAATGAGCCATTAAATCAATGGTTTACTCGATTCATTCAAAACGCGGATTCATTCGGAAACTAAACACAGCTGTGTTGCTCGGAGATGCACAACAGTTCTGCTGTGGCTTAATCGATAATGTTTTTGTTGGCAAAACTGTGGAAAAACAGACAATATTGTGTTTAAAATATAACTATATTAACTTCTTATTTACTGAACTGTTGTATAAGATCACATTTGCACTCGTGCTAAAAAGCACTGATGTGATATAGCTCTCGCTGCTCCTGTGATATCGCTTATCGTGATATAAATATGAGACAAAAAACATTTTTTTGCCCCAATATCTTGAATTTTAGGGCATGACTGCATTGATGGAGTTGTTGCCCTGCATCATATTTGTCAACAGTCTACTGTGTATGAAATTTAAGATGATGTACAGGTCTGGGGTTGGGGCCAGTGCATTAACTGCATTAAAATATTTTAATTGCGTTATTTTTTTCATAACTATGTGAGCACCAGTCAATATATTGGTTGACCACTAATTAAACTAACTACATCAAAATGCTACTGAAAGGGAAAATACCATCTGAATTTATTAAGGAAAAAAAAACGTAAAAAGCACGTCAAACTTAAACATGATACATTTATATTAATTAAGAACATCTTTTAATTTATTCAAACTAAATTAAAAACATAGTGGTAAACTGTAATCTGTCTTTTTTTGTTTGTTTGTTGTTGTTGACAACAAATCGTGAAATGCCCTGCAGGGTCTTTGAGGAACACTTGTGGTAACGAATATGTGAATTGTTTCTTTTGTTCTGGCCTCATTTGCAAAAATGAATCAGACTTCCCAGTGCTAGAGAGACGCAGGGAGCATATTTGCATTTGATTGTGCCTCTGCATTCTCAGTTATAAGGCTGTGTGCATTACAATGTGACCTAAAAAACAACAGTGATATATAGCGTAATGTCACACTACAATGCTGCTAGTTGGAAAACATAGCTGCTAACAGGAAAAGCTTGATTATTTTGAAAACGACTACTGTCACGTTAGTTGTCATTACTTTGTTCCCAATGCTGTTGTCCGTATATGATTCTTTACAGACTGGGAAATATGCTTAAAATGGCATTATCTTCAGAGATGGGAAGTGAAAATCAGATGCATGTCACACTATTTGTTTCCTGTCTACATCTAGCACAGAAGTCAGTGGAACTCATCTCTGCACTGATACACTGTGCATGTATGGACACGACTCCATGTCACTGATCGAATACAGTTTGTCCACAGGCCACGTTTAAGAGATATCAGACCGAACACAAGATGAAGCAGGACTCGCTGGAGAGATCGCAGTCAGACCTGAAGAAGCTCAGAAGGAAAAGTCAAGGAAAGAACGCTTCGAAGTATGAGAGTAAAGAGAATGAGGTACGTGGCTAATGTTTTTATTTACAGTTAAAAAATAATTCTATTTATAATAGAAAACAATTTTAAAAACAAAGCCTTACAAGGTAACAAAATATAAAATAAAAATGAATGGCAGACATTTAGGCCAAAGTGGGCGAAGATAAAATGATTTTTTATTAAAAAATAAGAACAAAGATACATTTTACAGATACACATAATATATAAACAAAACAAACAGTGCTTTATTTTTCAGGTACAGTAGGTGTATTTAGCAGGAGCATTCAAGAAATTGAATGAACAAATATAAAAATAAAACACTATAGGCCTACACTTCACTGTGTAAATTATACACTGATTCTTGTTAAAGCCACTTTATTAAAGTTCCTCAGTCAAGAGCAGTGAGTGATTTTCTTTGTGTTTTGTTGTTTTATTAACATTAAAGGGATAATTCACCCAAAATCATAATTTAAATCATTTGCTCACTCTAAAGTTGTTTTAAACCTGAATGACTTTCTTTCTTCTGTTGAACATAAAAGTTGTCAACTGTTTGGTTACCCACATTCTTCAAAATATATTTTTTTTATTCAGCACAAGAAAGAAATTAATACAGGTTTGGGACAAAGTAAGAGTGAGTAGCTAAATAATGACAGAATTTTAATTTTGGGGTGAACTATCCCTTTAATGACAAGCGGCAGCATGTTTAGCGCTATTAGTCTGCTGTCACTTTAAGACCTGCACACATCTAATATACAGTCAACTGTTTACTTTCACTTTAGACATAACCAACTGTGTTTATATGTAAACCTTGGGTGTTTTGACAGTATTGCTGCAATCAGACATGAAAGATAACTTAGGCCTCGTTTACACTGCAGGTCTTGATGCCCAATTCTGATTTGTTGCCTATATCCGATTTTTTTGGCTGTCCGTTTACACGTTCTTGCAATTGTGACCCATATCCGATTCATGTGTTTACACTTGCCATACCATCTGAAACATCGCACATGCTTTGTTGTCATTTACCGCCTCAACATGTGCTTCCTCCTGAGAATAATGTGACCTGTGCTGACAAAACGAGTCACAATGAGCAATTAAAAAAAAATAATAATAATTGACATTCTCCATTAAAAGACTTTCAAAATGATTTATGATTTGTTGGAATCGGACAAAAAAATGACTGAGCTACACCTGTTTGAAGTCGATAGAGTAAAGTCATCCATCTTTTCTTATTATTAATTACCTATATTAATAATCACAATACAGCTATTTTTTATTTTATCTTTGCTATTATAAATAAGAACAGATGCAAAAAAAACTGTAGAACAAATAGCCTAGAAAGAAACAAATAATGCATTACCTTTTATAATTTTATATCTAAACTAAAGCATTCATGTACAAAAAACATATAATCAAATGTAAAAATAACTTGTGTGTTCATTACAAATAAATTGATTATTAAAACTACAAAAGCAGTTCAATGAAGTGCAGCGAGTGATTCCCTCTTTTCTTTTATTGTTAGATTAACATTGAGACAGACGTCCTATACTGTAATGCACGGATCTAATAGGCCTATAATGTTACACATCAGATGTTTTTCCCCAACAGTTCCCTAAGCGTTCACTTAAGACAGAACAGATTATGTTTGCGTGAATACTGAAATACTGTAATTCTGTATATGCGTGTATTTTATCGGCATCACGCACCATCAGAAGCGCCGTTATATGCACGCACTTCGGATGACAGTCAGCACGAGAAGCGAGCGGAGAAAAGGTAATCCTCTCAGAAAATGTACAAATAAAGATAATTTTAGATGTTTAATTACTACCTGGAGGAATTTTATTTATTTTTTTATTTTTTTGGCTGTAGCTCAAAATAGCCCATGCGAATTTACACTCATTTTGCCAGCACGGGTCACACATGACGACATTAAACCGCGAAGAAGTACCAAATTGTTGCAGTTTTAATGACGTACAGAATGCAATGCCTCAGAAAATCCGATCTGCCTGTTTACATGACAGTCACATTGGCACATACCTGATTTATATCCGATTTATTTCCACATACGAATGAGGCCTGAGACCGATCTCAAAATATCCGAATGCATGCGTTTTTTTCCTGTTTACACTGTCATAGAACAGATTCGATCTGTGTCACATATGAGCAAAAAATTGGAATTGGGTCACATTTAACTGACAGTGTAACGAGGCCTTTGTCCAGTAATCAGGCGCTGTTTGACAGGCTTTTTAGTGTGCGCGCTTCAGTTGTAAAATCACATGTCAGAACAGCACGCGAATAATATGTTTAACCAGCAAGGATTTAAAGCACATGCAAATAATGTACTTTTGTGATTGTGAATAAGTGCAGTGTCCCGTGAGAGTAAATCTAGAGCTGAGTTAACATTTGATGTGAATGTGTCGCATTGTACAGCACAATACCATGTTATTTCTTCAAAAGCAGATCATAGAGACATTTTAATTGTCCACAATCAAAAAATTTTTATATTGTACACTTTTTTTTTTTTTTTTTTGTCTTTTTTAACCTGGTGTAAAAAACGGTATGTATTTATTTTATGGTTGGAACAAGGATGCCACATGTACCTTTACTTTGGTACCATGTCAATACTAAAGTGATTTAACGATAACAGTATTTCTACTATTTCAATTCGGCACTCGTATGCAGGCTTCTTTTGAGTGCTTGTATACACACACATCATGAAGAGCATTCACACCCTGTAAAAATATGGTAGGGCTGGACAATAATTCAATATCAATATGTATCGCGATATAATTTTTTTCAATAACGGTGATATGATTTTTAAACACATTTCCGATATTTCGATATACATTACCAGTGTTTCCCATACATTGATTTATTTGTGGTGTTTGACTTCGTGCGTGTTTTATATGAATGTATCTCTGAAGGGAACCGACTGTCTTCAGAAAAGTTTCGATGGCATTTTCATTTTATCTGATAAAGTAGTGTTCATGAGCGGAGCTGCTTTGATTACAGCCATTACTGGAGAAACCACTAGTTCTCCCGCTCTCACAGCGCCTCCTGCTGGCAGACAATCAGTTTGCATTTTCAATAATAAGCCCGTTTTTGTTGTTGCTCTTTTTTTTTTTTTTTAGTAAAATTATTTCTGAAGGATCATGTGACACTGAAGACTGGAGTAATGATGCTAAAAATATAGCTTTCAAAATGTTTCAAAATTAATATTTCAAAATGTTACTGTTTTTTGCTGTATTTCTAATCAAATAAATGCACTTTTGCTGACTTGGTGAGCAGAAGAGAATTCTTTAAAAACATTACAAATCTTGCTGTTCAAAAACTTTTGACTGGTAGTGTATGTTAGCCTATAGTTTGAAGTTAAAGATATTAATATTAATTAGGTGAGTCTGAGACGATTATTTGAAAGTGATTTCACATTTCTTGTTTGTATGAAGACTAAATACAAATAAAAGGTGAACATTTATTTATTTGTGCTGTTTTTATATGAGGTGTCATAGACTTAGCAAATTCATTTTTCATAAGTTTGTATGCACAGACATCTGTTGTGGGCATTCTTGGCAGTTTTTACGAGGCTTTTTTTAATAGTGTTCATATCGGAATTATAGCGTATCGACCGAAGTTAAGAAATATATCGTGATATAAATTTTGGCCATATCGTCCAACCCTAAAATATGGTTGTGCATGAATGGTCAGACGCACTTTTATTTAAACTTCCCACCTATAGAAGCATTGTTGTAGTTAGTTAGTGAACTTAAACATTTGCAACAAAAAGGTTCGTCAAAATAATGGAATCTGTGCATTAGGCCTTATAAGGGTTGCACGATTAATCTGAGCTTTCAGTGTCAGAGTGGCTTGGTTTGCAGTAAATGCTGCTCCACAACCTTCATCTCTGCATCTGCTCTGAGTTTGGCTTGCAACATGCACCAACGGTCTTACCATATTTATAATGAGAAGCACATATGAACAGAAGAGAAGCTTTAGAGGCTTTAAAGTTCAGTGGTTCAAGGTTTGAAATTGAAGAAATTAAGACAGCCATTAATATTAGTATTGTAATTTTCCAGTTGTAATGTAAAGCAAAATTATTATTTTCTTACATAATTTTTTTACAGTGAAATATTAAAGGTGTTATTTCTTTTGATTTAGTAATTTTTATATTTGTATTTAATAATAATCATAAATTAATAAGTTACTATTAGTAGTAGTAGTATTTCATAGCCAGATTGTTTAAAATCACAAAAATATTAGTTAATATTTCTATGTATATTCAATAGTGTATTTATGATCGATCATCATAAAATATTGGTATCATATCAGCCCTTTCTGGAATGTGGTACTGACCAATCAGGAAGCAGGAACTATTCACTTTATAGATATAGATTTTAATTGTAGCAGTGTTCTGTAAATCCACCCTGCCATATAGTTGAATATCTATCACTGGACGTTATCAAGATACAGGCTTGTGTTCATATGCAACATGGTCATAAAGGAGCGGTCGTTGTCTTGTAATATTGAATGAGGGTGAAACTTTCTTCTGTTGTGGTGGATCCATCTCTGTATAAATAAAGTCCAGTAGCAAACAACTGTACATGAAATCCGACCCTAATCTTGTGATCCGAAAACGACAGGCGCGTTTATTCATCATAACCATCTCATGCTTGTGACTCTCTGCGTACAGGCTGTTCATCAGGGTAGCCTGCAGAGATTAATTGCTTTTTTCTGTGTGTTTGCACCCTGATGGCTAATGTCTCACCTCACCATGGAATTTACTGACAGATTTCTCTCTCTCTCTCTCTCTCTC